AGTGATCGTGAGCATTTCCTCATGTGTCTGGTGGCCATTTGAATGTCTTCTTTGGTGAAGTGTCTGTTCATTTCCTTTGCCCATTTTTTAATAGGATTATCGGTACTTTTGTTGTAGAGGTGTTGGATATTCGGAAAGTCATTTTAATCCACAGAAAATCTCTTACCTAATGTAATTTTAAATGTCATAGTGGTTAAGAGCTCAGCTGCTAGCCAAAAGGTCAGCAGTTCAAATCCACCAGCCACTCTTTGGAAACTCTATGAGGCACTACTGCTCTGTCCTGTAGGGTCACTATGAATCAGAATCGACTCCACAGCAACGGGTTTGGTTTGGTTTTTGGTAATGTAATTTTAAAATAACATTAAGCTTATATGTGGGGCTACTGCTACATCCCCATTAGGAATTCAATTCTTTAATATGGTTGCTTTCTTCAAAACATCGCCTCTAAACCATAGACTTACTAAAGTATATTAAATTTTTTATTATTATTGGAGTGGTGGTCTGAGGGTATCATTTATTGGTAGGGCTTAAAGGAACTTATTCCAAGTGGCTTCCAACCACAAAAAGTGCTTAGAAACAATTCTCTTTGGAAGCTTACAGATTAATTTTCTTGCATTATGCCTTGGGGTGAATTGACTTGTTTTGACAGACATTGTTCTTTATATCTTTAGTTATTAAACGCAGAAATGAACTATTTATGTGTCACAGAAAATCCCAAAGCCTCCTTCCAGTTTCCTGTGTTGATGCTGAAGTGACAATGTAGTAAAACCTGGTATAATGGTACAGGATCCAAATTTTTGGTTACGGTACCCCTTTAATCATTCAAAATGGAATGAATAATCAGAATAAATGACAAGGCCTTTAAACTGAATAACTTTTAAGTTTATGAAGAAAAAAAAAACATGTATTTTTCTATTTTTCTCACTTTGCTGTTCACCTAATGGACTTGTATATGGACCAGAACAGGTTGCTAGGCCAGCATTTGAAAACCACTGATTTAAAAGATAAAACTTTAAAACTGCCATACTGCCTTGTTACATATACACCCCTTGGATCAAAGTGTTCACTTAAACTTATTACTAACTTAAGGCATCAAACAAGGTTTCCCATGGTGGTTTTCCTTTTTTTTTTTTTTGAAAATACATCCTTCATGTGCCATTAGTTCTGCCATATGCCTGACAGCATGTTCTGAAAGATTAACCCTGCTTTCTCCACTCCCTAGGGTGGATGAGTTGCTTAGATTGGGTTTGGATATACTTACTCTCCTTCTGTATATAAGCTTGAACAACTGGTCTCATTGACTACTTATTACATATAAGCAAACTGTTAAGTATCATAAAATGTTTTAAGATTTGGAAAGTTTAAGAACTATTTCATGGGAAATAGAGTAATTTAGTTACCCTTTCCTTCTTTTCATTGATTAACTATAGTACTGAATGGTGATGATAATAGTGATACAACTTTTGAGTCGTGCACCAGAGTATTGAATGTTCTTTCTCTCTTGTAGCCTGAAGTCTTGCACATGATCTACATGAGAGCCTTACAAATAGTATATGGAATTCGACTGGAGCATTTCTACATGGTGGGTTTAAGATGAGGCAAAATTATATTCTTTTGCTGCATTTTTCCTTCCTATAATGCATACCTGGTTTTCAGGATAGGGAGTTCTTGACTTTATTTTTAACAAATTTATGGCTTGTATAACATTAATTAATATTACTTGCAAAGACATCTTAAGCATATTAATGGTTTCTCTATATTGATACCTTTAATTTATATTTAAGCTAAGATGAAAGCTGTTGTAAAAGACCTAAATGACATTTACAAATTATTGATGCTGTGCAATTATTCACAGTTCTGCAGGTTCGTTTTCAGAGACTATAATAAACAAAGCAAAGTCTTCACAGGTATTGCTCTGTTCTCAGTAAGGGCTCACAAATTAGAGTAGAAGATACGCAGTAAGATTGAATACAGTTGAAATGAGGCAATTGAACTTTTAGCAAATTCAGTATTTCCGGTAGAGAAGATCAGTTTTCTTAATCTTTTTGTTGTTAAATCATCAAGGAATTATCTGAAAATGCACTAATAATGTAATGCCTTTGAAATCTAACTGATCTGATTGCGTATTATCTAAAATCAAAGGCTTTACAACTTACTAACTGAAACCTTGTTAAGGCTTAGTTTTCTTTGTATATGAAATAGGGATGGCACTTTCTCATAGGATTGTTGTAAAAATTAGAAGAGAATACGTGTAAAACACTTAGCATGGTACCTCATATTTAGTAAATCCTTACCATTACTCCTTCATTAAAAAAATCTTTATTCTGTAGCCACCACGGTGGCACAGTAGTTAAGCACTCAGCTGCTAACCGAAAGGTCAGCAGATCAAACCCACCAGCCGCTCCTTGGAAACCCTGTGGGGTGGTTTTGCTCTGTCCTAGAGGGTCGCTATGAGTCGAATTCGACTCAATGGCAACGAGTTTGATTTGGTTTTGGTGAGCCTAGCATTATTAAGATTAATGACAACCCTAATTTTGTGCTAGGATGTTTATTGTTCGTTTTTTATAATTTAATTATAAGTTATAGATTATGATTTTAATGTATGATTAAAGTTTCTTGAGGTTAATTTTTCTCATGATGTCTAATCAATGTGTAACTTAGATTTTGTGATATATTACATTTAGATGCCAGTGAACTCTGAAGTCATGTATCCACATATAATGGAAGGCTTCTTACCAGTCAGCAATTTATTTATTCACCTGTGAGTAAAGAGTGTTTTGTTTACATCGTGCTAAGCATTTTTAGAGTCCCTAGGTGGCACAAATGGTTTGCACTCAACTGCTAAACTGAAAGGTGACATTTGAACCCACCCAGCAGTCACATGGAAGAAAAGGCCTGGCAATCTGCTTCCATTAAGATTGCAGCCAAGAAAATCCTACGGAGCAGTTTTACTCTAACACATGGGGTTGCCATGAGTTGGAATCTAGTCAGTGACAACCATCAACAACAAGCTTTCTTAATTTTATTTTTTTTTGATGAAGGAATTTCTACCATTTCCCTATTCACTCCATCCCATATACATTTACAGTTGTAGGCTTCTATGAAACATAGCTAACTGCCTCAACCTGTGGCAGTTTTTCAGGATGCTTTTAACTGAACTTCTAAGAAATTTGTAATCTAAAATCTTTTGCTACCTTTGTGGCAAGTTTTGAGTTCCTAAAGAGTCTTAGTACCTCTAAGAGTGTGTGTTGTTTCTTAGAATCTATAACTGTACCTTGGTATTGCATGGATACTTATATAATCAGAAAAAGTAGATTTCAGTGCTATAGGATTATGCATTATAGCAGACTTCTGACTTGGTCCTTTGGCATTGAGAAATATATCTAGAAAGCTCTTTTTGAAAATAAAATATTTATATCCTGTGGCTAAGTATTTACTTTTCAATATTCTTTCTTCAAGGGACTCATTTCTGCCCATCTGTCGGGTGAATGACTTCGAGATTGCTGATATTCTGTATCCAAGTAAGTTAGAATTTAAGACAATTTTTATTTCATTGTCTGGCTTCAATCTAATAATTCATCTTTCCATTGATAAATAATAAAAAAGGAAACTACCTTGCAGAAATTCATATTGATATCATTTATTTTCTTTAAGCGATTATATCTAAAAATGAGAAACCTCTTGAAAAGGGAATTACCAAGAATATTGCTTCACATATTAATAACATTTTAATTTTTTAAACATTCAAAAATATAGCATGGCTTATTATATTAACTAAACATTGAGTTTGTATTTTGGTGGGATCTTGCCGTTTTGGGTTGGTCACATGGTATAGTAGGAAGTAAAAGATTTTTAATAGGGCTACCTAGGTTTGAATCCTAGTTCTGCCAGTTACCAGCTGTGTGAGTAGCAAGTTACTTAGCATCTCTGATTCTTAATGCCCGCCTGTCAGGCTTGATTTGAGGGCTGGAGATTTAAGACAGTGCCTGGCATATAAAGATGCTCAGTAAGTGGCAGCAAGGTAGAGCTTTAGCCATGAATCATTCCTGGGATTTAAGTACGGAATATGTATTTTATGATACTTTTAAATTACTGTCTAAGAGTTTTTGCTCATTTAAATTGGCTTTTAGATAGTTTATCATATTTTTAAGGATGAATTTTTTAAATCCTATTATTGGAAATTTTTTCATTTGTAGATCCACAGAAAAGCTGTTTTTCCATTTATTTAAACAATGTTCTACAAATATGAGAACGCAAATAATATACAACTGTGATATTGCATAGTGGATTCATCATGCAAATTTTATCAAATGTAACAATTACTTTTTACCATGAACAAAATATCTTTTAGCACTATGGTAAGAATAGTCATGATATTATATTAGAATGTAAAATTTTCCTGGCTTTATTGAAGTGTCCCTTAATTCATTTGACTCTTTGTACTTAAAGTTGATTTATGTTGCCAGAGATTTGGTGTGCTACTTTTCATTTTTGTAAGTTTTATTGATGTAAATTTACACACAATAAAATACATCAATTTTCAGTGTATAGTTGGATGAGTTTTAACAAACGTCTACAGCCATGTAACTACAATTGTGGCAGTGACATTGCCATGGACCTCAGAAATTCCCTTTGGTCCCTTTGCAGTCAGTCTCCTTCAGCCACCTCCTGGTCCCTAGCAACCACTGATTTGCTTTCTATCACTGTAGTTTTGCCTGTTCTAGAATTTCACATAGGGTTGCTATGAGTCAGATTGACTCGACAACACACAACAGAATTTTATACAAACGAAATCGTAAGTCGGTAGTCTCTTTGTGTCTAACTTCTTTAACTTAGCATAGTGCGTTTGAGATTCATCCTTGCTTTTGCATTTATCAGTACTTTGTTTCTTTTTATTTCGGAGTAGTATTCTGTTCTAAGTAATACGACAGTTTGTTCATCCATTGACGGACGTTTGAATTGATTCCAGTTTTTGGTCATTATGAACAAAGTTGCTATGAACGTTAGCGTATAAGTCTTCTGTGGACATATGATTTTCTTTCTTTTGGGTAATTATCTAGGAGTGAAATTGCTGGTTCATGTAGTAAGTACATGCTTAACTTTAAGGAACTGCCAAGTTTTTCTTAAGTGGCTGCATCATTTTGCCTTACTACCAGCAATGTATGAGAGTTTCACTTGCTCCATCTCATCCCTGAAACTTATATTGTCAGTTCTTAATTTTAGCTATTCTAGAGGGTGTGTAGTGTTACCTCATGGTTTTAATTTTCATTTCCTTGATAGCTAATAACAATGAACATATTTTCATATGTTTATGTGCTATCCGTGTATCTTCTTTGGTGAAATGTCTGTACAAGTTGTTTGCCTGTTTTGTTTTGTAATTGAATTGTATGTCTTACTGAGTTGTAAAGCTTCATCAGATATTTTGGAAACAATTCACTTATTAGAGTTATGTCATGCAGATATTTTCTCCTAGCCTATCACTTGCCTTTTCAATTTCACTGCAGTGTCTTTTGAAGAGCAACAATTTTTTAATTTTGAAGAGTCTAATTAATCAATTTTTTATTTTATGGTGATAAAACCATTTTTTGTGGCCTATTAAGAAGTCTTGCCCTAATCCAAGGTCACTAAGATTTACGCCTATATTTTGTTTTAAAAGGATTATAGTTTAGCTTTCATTGTTTAGTGTTTGAGTTTTTGTATATGGTGTGAAGTAAAGGTCAAGGTTCTTTTTTTTTCACAGCATAAAGATATCAAATGGCTCCAGCACCACTTGTTGAAAATTGATTCATCCCCCCAATACATATATATGTGTGTGTGTGTGTTTCTGGGCTCACTCTTCTGCTCCACTGATCTGTACATGCTATCTTTATGTCAACCACACTACCTTGATTACTTTAGCTTTAACGTTAAGTCTTGGAATCAGGCAGTATAA